CTAAACCAACCATAATTTAAAAATAAATTAATAAATAAGAAACAAACAATGGCAACACAAATTGTTTGCCAATGTCCACTTATAAAACACAGTATGTGAAAGTTTAAGTTTCTTTACTTCCCAAACAAATTTGCAGGAAATTTGTGGATTTGCGTGTGCAAATATATTCCAATATAATTATATTCCAATATAATTATTAGAATGATAGAAAGCTTTATAGAGGAGTGTTAATCTATTTTAAGTAAATATTACAGAAAGTATTCAGTTATTAACTCATGAAGCTGAAAGAAAAAAAAATAACAAAAGAAAAAAATCAGAAAAACCACCACTACTGAGTAATGTGGCAAGATTTTCCCTACTGCATATAGAATTAATAATACATGTGAACCCTTAATTTTTAATATAGATATCCACCCATATATCCCCCCATAGAGAGAGAGTACAAACAGGTGCACATGACAGAGAATAGATGGAAATTTATGAATATACTACTCTTTATATAGATGTTCATTATTCCACCATGCATACATAGAAATCTTTGATCTCTGAACGTTCAACTATGGTCTTCAAGGAGAAAACAAGAATGGGAAGCACTTCAGAAAAAGCTAGTGCTAGAATTGTGAACTGAGCTTGGTTGAAAAATGATACTGTATACATTGCTCTGAATCAAGGTCAAAAGTGAATTAGGAATCCAGGCCCTGAGTAATGAGGGCTTAGCACTTAGCAGAAATGACATGCCCAGTTTCCAGCTCAGAAGTGCCAGCTGACCTGCCAACCTAGCATTCCAGATCTGAAAGGGAGAAATCTGCTCTGCTCGCTACAGACAAGATGTGTACTACTAATTATTGCTCCTGGAGGCTTATGATGAGCTACAGTAGGATCGTTGTCTGGAAGCCAATTCTCAGCATAGAATTTGGGCAGGCCAGGCCATAAATCTGTGTCACAAAAGTAGCATAAGCAATATTCAAAAATAAAAGTATTTTACTTAAAGGAGATAGAAAAGGAGAGAAGCAGTTAGACCATACTCTATAACAGAAACTCTTCATTTTGAGCTGTGAAGAGCTTTAATACTTGATTGTGCTGTAGGATACTTCCAAAGAAAAAGGCCAGTAAAACAATCCTTCAGCTCATAGAATAACTAAGATGGATATACCCAAGCTATCCAAGAGGCCCTAGAGTCTAATGTTGTTGATTAAATTAGACACCTGTTCATTTCTGACCTCTTCTGTCTTATGAGAACACATGTCAGCAAAGTCTTTACATACTCAAATTAACTCCAAATATTTGCAGCATTCTTTTATTTTCCAATTACAATTTTCTCATTGGTTTTCTCATTTCCAAATAATTACAAATTATGACACGAGAGTGCCTTACAGTGCAAAAAGTGCAAATACTGGACCACAAAGTCAAAAAATATTTTATTTATCCTGTAATGTTGGTAATCTGTGTTCAGGCTACAGATAAAGCTAAAAACATACCTAAGGTATATTCCTGTGTGTGGCACCCGTGTTCCCACACCATACACAAGACATGACACTGGCTGAAGCACTATTATTAAAGAGAGATTAAAACAGCTGTACATTATGCTGAAGCACTCACTCTTCCCTTTACAAACAGACGGTCCTGGATTACAAGCAGCACTTGACCATTTAAATCACTACAACAACCAGATTTAACCAGCTGGGCCATATTCTCTTAGGCAATGCCTGTTGACCTCCTCAGTCACAGCTGCTCAGATGAAATTCTCATTAGACAACTTATTTTCAGGAGCCAAAGGAGTCTGATTAAATAAATCTATTTAGACATGATAAAGTCTTCCAGTATATATTTATTTTCCAGTGTTATGAGGTACAATAGAGACAACAAAGAGTATATACAAGCATAGCAGACACCTAATATCTGAGTGCATAGCACAAAATATTTAAGTGTTTGACCCCAACGACCTGTATTTCTCAAATTCAGATGATATAGATGGACCAGAAAGTTTCTATGTAGCAATATTAAAAGAGACTTTTCACTGTGCTGGTTTGGGGGGTAGAACTGATGACTGGAATTCTTGAGTTCTTTACTCCACACTTAACTCTACAATTAACCTGACATATGACTGTGTGTTAGCCCAAATCCCACAGCTACATCAGTGGTCAAGGAGGTCATCCCTATAAATGAGACTAACATGAACTATTACATCCTTTTAAAGGAGATATGCAGGACTTAAAGCCCCCACACCACAGTATACAGTAGAAACACATGTCTTTTCTCCATTTCATTCATTAAACCCATTATATTATTCTCCCTGTTTTTAAAAAAATCAGCAGGTATTTTTCAATTTTGTGACAGGGCAGGACTTAGTACACAAAGAGCTCCTCAATTGCATTGTTTGCAGATACCATTTTAAGAAAAGAACTGCATAAAAACCTATTTTAAAGGATAGATGTTAAAGAGCATCATGTATGGTAAGTGCGTGATCAGGATATTAATTAAGTTGTTCAAAAGACACCAAAGGATGACAAAACAGTTTCATAATCTCAGACCTCATTTCTCCAACTGACTGCACAAGAGCTAAAACAAAGTTCAGTCTTAAAATAGTAATTATTTTTAACATTTTATTTTAATCAAACAAGTACAGAGAGCACTTCTTTTAAATTCAGAGAAACTTCTGAATACTGAATTGAGTATTCAAATCTGTTCTAAGAATTTTGATATTCCTGGCCCACACAGATGTTTAGAAACATTGAACTTCCTAAGTGCAAAGTCCTGAAGAATTTCCAATCTTTCTATTAATTATTTTTCTGCATTAGTTTATATGGTACCAGTCATATGTTCATTAATTATTTTCTGTAAAACATAAGTAACTTTTTTTCCAGCAGAAAATGGTGGATGAATGGAAAAGAACTTAATGCAGAACCATAAAATCATCACAGAATGGCCTGGCCTGGAAGAGATCTTAAAGATGATCTAATTCTAGCCCCAGTGCTGTAGGCAGAGACTTTTCATCAAACCAGGTTGCTCAGAGCTCCATCCAACCTGACCTTAAACACTTCCAGGGAGAGGTGTCCACAACTTCTCCGGGCAACCTTTGCCAGAGCCTCACCACCCTCCCAGCAAAGAATTGTCTCCTAATATCTAATCTAAACCTAACCTAAACACGAAGATACAGTCAAATACCTTTGAACTTACAGGCAGACTTTAGAATAGCTTTCCATTCTAATGTGATCCATAAAAGGCAAGATTATTTTATGGATCAAAAATGACCTTTATTTCAGCTGATGAGAACACATAGCATGTAGAAGGCTCTGACTTAGAGGGATCTCTCTGCTCTGCACTCTTAAAACAACCAGTATATACCAATACAGGGGAAGCACAGAAAATTCTTGAGAACCCATACAAAAATAAGCTATGAAATGCTCGAATCCCTACAGATACTATGTTTAAACTTTTTGATGCACATTTTTATTAGCACACCATCCAGTACACTCCTGGAAGAGCCTTGTGGTGTCAATATAACCAACAGCAACTCGAGCACTCCCGCAGAAAGTACGAGCCAAGACCTTTGATTAGCATGGGGTGTCGAACGACTGCTACTGACTGCAGAAAACAACTTTGCCAAAGTAATATTTAAAATAGTTTTCCTAGCCTAACCACCAAATCTAAGAAAGCAATTTTTAAAAGAGTGATCTTTACAGCTGAAAACAGACAGATGGTAGTAAAGAATCTGGGACATTCTCTCTTTAGAGATGTTTCACCAGCTTCAGAAAGGACACCTATAGAACACACTGGCATTTAACAATTGTGCCAAGAAATTTGGAATCCTACTTCCATCACTACATGATTTTATCCCATATTTAAACATATTATTGTATCAGCTTCAATTTTAATTGAAATCTGCACTGCCACATGAGGCCAAGAGAACTTAAACTGAAGTGTTTGAAGTGCACCGTGACAATATAATGAAATTGAGGAGGCAAAATAATTCTGAACTCATTCATATTTCAAAGAAAAAAAGAATCACAAAGTTCTACTGTATTTTGGCTCTACTACATTATAAATATTCTTCCTGGGTTATTTTTAATGCCACAAAACTGAACTGGTAGAATATCTAAGAGAATCCACACAGATGCCTCTGCACCTGTTTTTCTATTTCAGAGCCTCCTGCTCTCACAACTTCCCTGATTCAAACTCACGTATGAGCTCACAGATTAAAAGGCATTGTTGCTGAACCAAGTAAGCCTTCATTCTACTTACCAAGGGGAGAAATTTTTGTGGTGGGCCCTGACATACACTGACAAACTCACTCTCCAATTCCGTTTGTTTTCTCCCGTGGCCCAAAATCTTCGCAAAATTAATGAAAGTATCTGAATAAGGGCTGGCTACATAAACTGCCTTAGCACTCAAAGATTTGTCCTCATTTTTATCTCTGTTTTAATACTTGTAACAATATCTGAGGAGACTGTAAAAAAAAAAAAAAGATATTTCTTCCTCTGTAATTCTAGCTATATAGGTCAGAACTATGTACTTTTACACTTAAAACTGTTTCCCATTCTCCTAGTTACAGATGCTAGGTTATTAAAGTGATGAAAGATGAGAATTTTTAAGGCAAAACAAACCAGCTCATGTTTTATTCATTCTTATTGTTAAAAATAAATATTTGTCTTTTAAAAGGAAGAGAACCAATACAACTGAAGAATATCCCTCACAAGTCCACAGCAGGTTAAGTATTCATCATAACCTTTCAATTGAGAGTTGAGTTTTCACTAAATCCAGCATTCTTACTTTTACTCACAACCAAGATAATTTTAAAAGTTTTTAAAAGCTGGTATATTTGTCTAAAATCCCTAATGGATCTCAAACTACCATTGCCATAGAAACCTGTGATTAACTTTATCCTAGCCTTTGCCAATTACAGAGTTTTATGGCCCTTGATACACAACACATCCTTTATGCCATAAAAATTACAGGATTGGGAGGGTGGAGAAACTGCATCAATCTTATCCAGCACATACCTTCTTGCTCGGTCCTGGTCATTTCTTCTAGTTTCTTCTGCTTCAGTGTGTCCACCACATCTGCTAGGCTTCCCTTGCGACGCTCCGGCGTTCCAAAGTTAACACTGGTCATTAGCTCGCTGCGGTCACGACCTCCTTCGTCGGGCTTGTTTGGTGAGGTAGAGGTATTTCGGAAGGAATATAGGGAACATAACTTATTACTCTCTGACTCCTGCAAAGAAACAAAACAATGTCAAAACATGGGCTCTTCTCTCGTGGCAGAAGGATCTCAGGCAAGCAAAAGCTGAAAGCGTTATTTGCGATACTAACAAGCCTACATTTATCCTTCAGTTTATAAACTGAGCGTTACCATCTGAATTTCTTTGTTTCAGTGCTTTTGTCCCTAAGTCCAGTGCTCTCCATGTTTCTAACATTCACACTTCATGCCTGAAATAATCTTCATCAAGAATATCCCTCATCAGGAAAAAGCCACTTCAACACTTTTTAACAATGGATGTGTTAGGTTTTTACAGTTTTCTTTAGTTCCTTAAATAAGGACAACATATGTAGCACTAAGGAAGAAAGCACAAGCAAGGACAAATTATTCCTGGGTAAATCCTCAGCTAATGAAAAACAGCATAACTTTAAAACTAGAGAAAGTGTTAGGTCAACAGTGACCGAGGAGGAAGGAATCTACATTAGACTTAAACAAAGTTAATGGTACGTGTGTATCCATGCACATTCACTGCCCTTGAAATTAAATTTAAATTTTTCTTACAGAATGAATGCTACAATTCTTCTAATAAACAAAAGGAGATTTAATTTTCAGGCCAACATAGGCAAGAATGAGCAAGGAAATGAAGTTATGGCAAAACAAATCATGTATGCCAATACATAGGTATCAAGACCACATGTATCAGGTGTTATATAGTCAAAAACATAGAAGTAAAAAGGTTTCATCTAGTTTGTCAATAGATAATGATTATTTGAGCAAAAATTTTAAAAAAGGCATCAAAAAGCAATGATTAATGACAGTTCTCCTCAATTTTGTGATACCACCCAAAAGGGAAGCCTTTCCTGAACTTCTCTGGCTCAGACTTGTCATTCTCCCAGTCATTCTTGCAACATTTACTGCATCTCTGCCTTCACAATTCCAGCTAAAAAGAGAAGTTGTTCTTGGATTTGTCCTCAAAAACTCAACCACAAGAATTTTTCACACACTTCCCTTTCCAAAATTACTCTTCTATTTTAATTTTTAATAATGCCAGGCTAGGAGTGTTAAATATTTGGAGAAAAAAACTACTGATTTTATGTTTCTTTATGGCATGCCTAGAAATGTCAGTGTGCATATCAGATTCCATGAAACATACTTTGTTTAAAATTTAAGAGCAATTATAGTGGCAATAGATTTAAATATCAAAAAGCTAATTAATAATCTTGTCAAAAAACATTCTCATAACAATAATCTTCCTGCTACTTTATGAGCTGAAATTACCCATCTTCAGAGCACTGAAGAAAGGCTAGAAAGCGTTAACCATCAGCAACACCACAAGACACAAATCTTTGCTTCAATCTGGAAGAGATTAAGAAGTAGCTGTGCAATGTAACAGGAGGTGCAAGACCAACAATGAGCAAGCTGGGTGACTTGGGGCTGGGGACTGTGCAGGAGGAGGTGGTGACACATCATCCTCAAGCACAGCAGTCTGATCAGCACAGCACTGCTATCATCACTGGAGAAGGAGGCAGCATTTACTAGGGGTGTTGCAAATGTATTTATTCACTAAAACAGGAAATTAGAGGACACTCTATCTCATCCCACTGGTAGCAGCCCCTCATCAACACAGTAGGAGTGACAGAGGTTTTGCAGCACAAACAGAAAGAGAGATGACATGGAATAAAATTTTTATCTTTGTATTTTTAGCAAATAAACATTAAATAATTTTTCACTCCATCAATTTCTATTCACTGAAGAATTAAACATCACAGAGTACAGTATCTTAGACCAGGTACAGAGATTAACTTATTTAGCTGCCTTTAAAATGGAAAGTTTTCATACATTTAAATGTTTCTAAGAAAAACTACTTTGTATTTTTCTTACAATGGAGATGGAAAGACCATCTTTAATATTTTTCAGATGTAAAGCCTGAATTTCTATAATCCCTTTCCCCAATGAAGTATTAATGCTACCTACTTTGACACTTTCACCTTTGAGGACAGTACAAAATTAATTTAGTTATTTTAAAGATGCTTTTTCTCAAGAAAGAAACATCATCTTACAGTACATGAAGCACATCCATCAGGCTCAATGCAGGGGTTTTCATGCTCTCAGCAAGGAACACTAAATCTATTGTTTTGGCCGGAAACAGGAAGATAAGGCAAATCTGTGGAGTAAGTAAGAATAATGGAATGTTCTTCCTCCTGATAACCTCTCCTGTTCCCCATCTGGAAACATACATGGTCCAGCACAATGTTCCTTTGCTGTACTGAAAGACTCCCTAGTCCTGCCTCCATCAGGCAGCACATTCACCCTTCTTTTTCTTGCCCTAAAAACTGCAATATCCACAATGGAGATGTGACAAGTTTAAACACCACACAAATAATGCAGAATTATGGAAGTGAGGCAGCATGACTGCCTTTGCCAGTATGAGGTTTTGTCCAATTAATAAACTATTCTATATTGCTAGTTTTGTGGATAATTAAAATGTAGAATAAAAATAAAATGCATTTGTAATATTTCTGGTTCTATTTAGGCCTAGAGCACATGGAGCAGGTTTTATGGACCTCACTAGACAGATCAAAACATAAGGGGGCAAGGGAAATATTCATGTTTTTTTTTTTTTTTACTCTAGAAAGTTGACTCAACTGTATGTGAAGTTGCTACTGCAGCATTCAGCTTGTTGAAAACAAAGTAAATGTTGCAGCAAATTTATGAAGGATTTTCATTTTCATGGTGGACCTTACAACCTTCTGCAGACCACTCATTGTGGCATGTCAGGCCTGTCCCAGCACTTCACCCACTGCAAGACCAAAAGTGCAACTATCACATCCATCAGATGCAGACCTGACTATCAAAAATTAATTTGCATTGACATTCAAGAGCAGCAGACAGAGATCCTCCTAATACATTCAGGTATCCTCTGAAAAGTCTAGTGTGTGTTGCCTGAAACAAGAGGGATATCACCTCTGCAAATTGTTTCTTGGTCCTCTCTCTAATGCACAAAGCACTTTCCCTAGAAAGTCCTTTTCAGGTGGAAAAGGGCCACCATGCTTCCTAAAATAGAACAAACCCATGAATTCATGGTTAGGAAAGGAGTACCTGGTCCTTTTGAACATGAATATGGAAAAAAATCAATAAAAATACATCTCTTATCTTTAATAAGCTTTTTGAAGCCACTCTTTACAGAATGAGGAATTCCCACTTTGTTTGATCTGAAGAGAGAAAAGAAAGGATGCCATTTAGGTTTTTTTTCATGTATTTTCCAAGATCATGGAAGAAGAAGTAAAGTGAAGTGCCTAGACAAGATCAACTCAAGTGCTTTCATTTTGCAAAATCCAAATGAGAAATTCATCTTCACTGATGAAAATTTTCTATGCAAGTCAACTTTTCTCAGCATCACTGATAAAAATAAGGAAATTAATAATAAATTATGACTGACATGAATATCCACTTAATGTATGTGAACACAACTTAGTGCCCAAATTGATCCAGTAGCTCCATGATAAACTAGACAAGGGATATATCCCTGGATTCTTTGGTTTAAAATTCATGTATTTCTGTAAAGATGGTACTTTAAAAGTCTAAACTTGAAATAATGTCTTCAACACATGACATTTCCCTTTGAGACATACATTTTTTATGGCGTGCTATTCTCACAGATTTCAATGATTTCTAGGTAAGAAGGGGGGAAATGTGGAAAATATAATCAGATAAATAGTAAACATTTAGTGTATGGATAAAATATGTAAGACAGGGTGTGCTTCTTCAGGATCCCATTCTAGTTTTGCTGGAATTATAAAACTATCCTCCCACTTACACAATAATACTGGATAATTGTAGAACTGTTTATGCCTGTACCAGAATGCATAAGGGATCCCACAGGAATATTTGTCCACCACAATGGAAGCCTTTCTAGACTGGTCTCTAACAGCTGGCAAACCATTAAATTTGAAGACAGTTTATTATGCAAACAAAGAACAGATCTGAATGCTAAAACAACATGTACAATGATTTCCTATCTTAATCTTTCCTCTTTGCCTGTGTCAGGTAAAAATGCTTAAAGTTCCAAACTTTATGACTAAGCCAGAAAATCTTACTGCTCAACACCTGAAGAGACAAACTCAGTTTTGGACTACTATTTCAGCTGCTTACTATTCATCAGGGGCAAAATTGAGTCTATTTTTGAAAGATTGGGTGTTCATATCAAGGTAAATAAATGGCATTTTTCCTGTCTACATTTTTTTGCCAGCTCATTAGCACAGATCAAATTTCATTACTGATCATTCAACCCACTGTGGTTAGTGTTTTGACAAAATTCTATTATTATAACAGCTGAAATACCCATATATAGACACTGAAATGTAAGGATTAAGTTCAAAGTGTACAAAATTGAGAAAAATAAATAAATGCACAAAAGACAGAAAACCCAAAAGTATCAAGGTATGGACACTAAAAGACTGTGGATGACTCGTGCAGGGATAGACAGCCCTTGCATTAAATCATACTTTTACTAAAACCTCCACCTTTCTCATATGCCAATTGGAAAACAGCATAAAGAGTTCCAGCACAACATGGGAAAAACTTTCCTGGGTCCATCTTTGGCCTTTCTCATGTTAGAGGGACAGTATACTTTAAATAATCTCAAATTTTCTTGGAATATATATGGTCCATCTACAGTTTCCATAGTCTTATCAGCTTTCCAGACTGCCTGGTGTAAACAAGTGGCCATTTCTTTTAGAGCTGCTGCGAATGGCTCAAGTGCAGCTTTGGTAATGGCAGGAACAATTCTGAATAATTAAGAACAACTTGGTGAAAATAAAGACGGGGACTCTGTGACTACACACATGGTATTTTCTTCACACACCACAACAATTCCTTTAAAACTGTTACACTAAGATAATATGTAAAGATAGTTCAGTAGGCCTCTTACTCTGAGAAAATTAATTTTTAGCAAGTGCATTCACTAAATTTCACAAGTTACATGGGTTATGTTCTTCAAAAAGATAGCTGATAGT